GCAGTAGGGGACGTTTAGAGGCTGCAGTACAGTGGCTGAGTTTCCAAGCTCATATCCTAAGGGGGCTAATGCCACATCACACGATGATACAATGAGTCAGATTTGGTCCAGGACTCCAGAAAATAGTTCATTTTTTGTCTTTTCATCCAGTAGAAATAATTTTAAAATAATGACATTTTACATACACAAAGTGACTCTATCTTTTCTAGATGAATACTGACCCTGAATAAACTAAAACCACACTTAGCCATAAAAGAAAATCTCCAAGCATGCATGCTGTTGTCACAAATTACAAGCATATAAAGCGGCAGCATTCATAAAGCCAAAGCCCGTGAGGGTTGGCAGCCTGTTGTTTTGAACATTTCAGGGGAGGTTTATTTGTGCCATAGGTGCAGCTTCCACATAATGGCATTTGGCTGGTCAAGAAAATCTGCATGTTCAACTCACAAGTAGGTTTTTGCTACTTGTGCCAAGATCTGTGGAAAATAAAGATTAAAATAGCACAACTATTGTATAACTGGACATTTATGTACATTCACCAAGGGACGTTTGCCATTCAGGTCTGTGGAAGACCCAGATTCTGCCTCTGCCGAGCTGCAGTAAGTTCAGCCAAATTGGGAATTGATTACAACTTTGGGTCATGCTGAGCTCCTGAAGTTTGGCAGCTCATCTTTAATGCTTGCCTGGAGGGGTCAGTGCCCAGAAAAGGCTGCTTTCAACTTTACGGTTTTTGCTGTTGACATTGCTGAGATCGGTGAGAAGTGCCCACGTTGCTTGCTCACCTCTCCCCCACGAGCCCCTGGGAATGGACCTGGAAAACCACAAGAATCTGAGGACCTGTTCAGATATTTCACATCATCTGTTTAAAGCCGTCATTCCCCAGGCAGAGATGTCATGAGCGTTGCTTGCCATCCCTGGCAAAGCTCAGGCAGAGGCTTGTGTGAGGGAAGACAGTTTGGTGGTTGCTCAGTACCCCTGACGGCTAGCTGGGAGCTGGGGCTCACTCCCCCCAGGCCCTGGTGGTCCCCTGGGGTCATGCTGAATGTCTGGTTATGGCTGTGACCTCCAGAAAGGCCATTCCTCCTGCTTAAGAGAACTTTTATTTGTAATCCCCCTTGTGATTTTTTTTTTTTCCATGCATGTTGAATGCTGGAGCCTGTTTTGTTTGCTGGAGAGAATAGGGAACTGTTTTCATTGAGGTGCTGCTGCCAAGAAGTTGCATTCCTAGGAGCAGGCCCCAAGCCCACTGATGCTTAATTTCAACAGCACTTTTTAGCAGCTTTTGCTGGTCAAAAAGATGCTGGTATTAATTCCATCTTCCTGCCCAAGATGTGTGTGTTTGCTGGAGGCATCTTTTTAGTGACTCAGTTGCTTTTTGATTTTTAGGCTGTACTTCATGCTACAGTTGCTGACAGTCTATTGGTTTTCCTCAGATAATGGTGTTTGGAGGAGCCTCTGTGACCTTCATTCTGCTGGCTGTATTGTTGGAACCATTGCCTTGGCTCGCTCTTTGTTTGCCTATGCTCAAGGAAACATTTTGCATGAAGAGGAAGGCAGGTAAGCAGTGATGTTTATTTTCCCCTGCAAGACTTCAGCGCACCGGGCCATCTCCTTCTGGTGGTTACCTTGCTAAACTTTATTTGCTGGGCTGTTGCAGTGAGTGCTGTTGGTCAGGGGAATCAAACCAAGGAGGAGGGACCATAGGGCTCCAAACCAGCGATTTGTTGGACAAAAGAGCTAAAGGGAGAGTCGTGATTGCTTGCCTGATTGTGGCAGTTAGATTTAACTGAGGGCAGTTCTGGCTTTCAAAGACCGGGCACAAGCGCAGTCAAACAGCTTTGTGTTCTCTTGCTGGAGCTGTAGGAATAGGAATTGATGTTTAAAAACTCTGGAGGTGATTCCATATGCATGTTTATCTGGCACGGGCTGCTGAGTCCTCTGAATTGCCGGGGATTGAGGCAGAGGGAGGATTTCTCGCCTGCAAGTTCGGTTGTTGTCTGAAGTAGGTGCTTGCTCAGTATGGAGGGGAAGCACTGGCAGCTACTGCATGTGATCACAGTCTGGAATCCCGGGATGCTGCTTTGCTCTGTGTAATGAGGGAAATGTGCTGTGGAACATAAGTTTGACAGTGGAACAAAACGTGGAAGCAGTAATTTCTGCAGCTGTATAGCTGGGTCCCGTGTGATTGTAGATTTGTGGTGGGTGGCCAAGCTAGTAATGTGAATACCTTTATAATTACGTAATCCTAGTAAAATATATAACTTCTCCAAAAGGAGGCAGTGTGTACTTACACTACTGGTCTGGAGGCAAAATTTTTATTTTTCAAAAGTAAACATTTGCTTTTATATATATATTCTGATCTGTTTTTTTTTTTTGTTTGGCTTTATAGAGAGTTGTTTGGTCTGGTGATTATTACAATATGGATGAGTCTTTGTCGCAGTTCGGCAAAGTAAGTTTTGTTTCCTTTTTTTTTTAAATCCATTCATATGTTCGCACTTAGCGATTAGCTTCTTGAAAACATGCAGTTGATTTTGGCTGCTTGTTTTTCTGCTTCATGTGACTGAACCTTCTTAGATACCTAAGCAGTAGTAGCTAGTGCTACAGCTTGTAGGATCTTGCACAGATAAAAGTCTGTGGGGAGAAGGGAAAGCTACACAAAACATTTTTCTGCTCCCCGTATCATGATGGGCAGGGGACATTCTCCCTCTGTACAAGGACAGTGCACCCCGTCTGTGGAACAGCTTAGTTAGTGAGTGTTGGCCACAACTGCTAATGAACTGCAAAGCCATTTCTGCCAGTGCTCCCAATTTACAGAACTTTCTGGTGAGGGTCTCTGTACTGGTGTCCGCTGCGTCCACCAGAGCAGGTGGGAGATGCAGGTGGCGCTGGGTGGCTGCTTGGCTGCAGCAGCTCTGCGCTTTTCCCTCCAGCCACTTTGGAGGACTGTGCTTCAGCAGCTTTGCTAAATTCCTGTTAGCTGGGAGCATGAAAAATCCTAATCTGCCAAACAGTACCTGTGTGCTGGCAAACATGTCTCAGCTGCTCTGGGCAAGCAGGTGCTTTTCTTTATTTTCCACCAGGTTTATGTAGCCTGAGGTGGCAGAAAACTTTCTCTGCTGGCATGTGGTGCCTGTGCAGTAAAGGACTCTGCTGGATGCATCCACAGGAGCTACATTAAAGTGGCCAAAGGCTCTTTGCTGTCTTTATCGAATATAGTCTCCTTCCAACTGCAGCCAGGTGTGAACGTTTCATAGCAGTCTGATCTGAAGTACCTCTGATGTGTTTCCTCTTTATAGGAGTCCAATGGGTGGAGTTCGCTTGATTGCTGCAATTGTGTTTGCCCTCTTCCCCTTTGTTTCATGGTTGTACATTTATGTGAACAAAGAGATGCGAGCATCTTGGCCAACACACTGTAAAACAGTGATTTAACTGCGTGGGAGAAAGTGTAGAATAAATATTCTGACCTTACTTGCCTCTGCTTTTGATTCCTAATGAAAGGTTTGTATCAGTTTGATACAGTACTTTGACCCAAGAATGCCTGGCTGCTTCCAGCAGTGCAGTTTGAGATCTGTTAAAAAAAAATTGAGGAACACTGTCAAATCTGAGTGGAGAACTTTTCTGTGGAAACTGCTGTTCAGTTGGCTTCTTCATACACTTTCAAACCACTGTTGATCTAATTTGTGTTTAATGGTATATTCAAGATATCTTGGCACCCCTGTATCACTCTCCAACCACCTGTAACACTCTCCAACCACCTCCTACTTTGGGAAATCCACTGTTCTGTAACATAAGGGAAAAGTAAAGCAAACACTTTGTTTCAATACATGACTACTTACCACCATAAAACTTGCAGATATCTGCCTGGATAGTCCATTGAGACTAACTGAAAAAGTCAGCAGTCTGTATTTCTGTTCCCACACTAAAATCATATGTAGAATATATCTGAAGAAATATTTTTTCTATTATATTTAACTGAAAATCACTGGTTTTATGAAGTAATAAATACTATTTTTCGAAAGAAAATTCAAAGAAAGCATCTGTATCTTTATTTTCTGTGAGATGTGTGCTCAAGACTGCCACCAGCAGACGTGGTTGCTATCACAACTCTGCTTCTCACAGAATTTCTGTTCTTGGAAAGCAGAACCCACACAGCAGTCCAGAGACAGTAAGCGTGTTCCACCGCTACTAATCCTGGAGAAGGAAGCACAGGTGAGTACTCTGGACACACAAGCTGGTTGGGAGAGAGCTACAACAGGTCCAGATGGAGCGCAGCAACATGCTTTAGATCCTTCCAAGTCGGAGCGGCTTTGCTCAGTACTGCTGCAGAATAATACAGCTGTGCTCACAGAGATCCCAGTGGACGTATCTGCAGCATTACGTGCTGCTGTAGCCTTACTGTCTTCAACTTTTTTTTTTTAAAGTCTGGGCCCCTCTGTGCTCTGCTCTGGTGTAGCATAGATGGTCTCCATTTTCCTTGGCCTTAGTTTTTTTTTAAAATTACTTTAGGCTTTTAAAGCAATGTTAAGAAGACTGCATTGGGCTACAGGGTGGCCAAACTCTGCTAGACGTGAGATATTATTGACTATGGTGATCAAAAAAAAATAAAGTGAAATGCAGCTGGGCAAGTGCAATTTTGCATACTTTAATTCTGAGTGATATAAAAAAGTGGGTATTTTTGGACAATATTCATAATATGGTTTGCATTTTTTTCACAGTAAGTAACAATCTGATCAGGATTGATTGTTTCAAGTCAACATTCTGCATTCAAGTATATGTATTACAAACATGGTTACTGGCCGCCTCTATTCTTCATGAAGAAACTAGGTCTGTTTTCTTACAGAAATGTAATTTCTAAAATTCTGTATCGGAGAGAAAAATGTTTGAGTTAAAGCTATAAGGATCAGCCATACACATCTTTCTACAAGAAAATAGTAAGCTGAATCCCCTGCTTCTGTCAGAGTGCTTTCTGAAGAAGAGCAATTTGTATTTGCTTACCACTATCAGAAATGCATAACTCTATCTGAAATTCTGCCCCTTCCCTTTAATATCATTTTATCTTCATAGACATAAATAGTTCCAAACGCATTGCTGTCCGGTGGAGTTTCAATAACCCCCTCCAAAGTCAGGTGATGAACTCCATGAGAGTCTAAACAATAGCCACCGTCATGCAGGTGCCCTGCAAGAACGCAGACCACGCACTGATGGGAGTGTATGACCGAAAGCGCATCTTCGTAATTCCAGGCCAGGCAAACTCTGTCTGAAGCATCTGGATGAATGGGCAGGTGACCTGTAGTTGAGCGGGAAAGAAGCAGGAGAGTTACCTTAAGTGTAACTAAACTCTGCCTTCCTTGCTGGGAAGTTCAGGTAACTGTATACAAAAGCTCACCCACGTGTGAGACATGGTTGCTGTTCTCCTGTTTCACAGGTTATATGTGTACCTCAGTGGAGATACAAGCTGCAACATGTTTTCCTTAGCTAACATACATTGGCTACATAACTTTTTTGGCGTATATCCCCCATATCCACCTACCCATTACTACAACTTTTTCTTGGTTTTCATCAGAGAACTTCAGGACTTCATGGAACCAGTCCAGCTGGGCTTGGCTAAATCCTCCATTAAACTCTACAAACTGAGGTTCTTTGAGTCCTGCAATGAAGAAGGTGGTTAGGCATAGGAGCATACACCTCTTGTGGCTCCCCTATTTGCTTGCCTATTTGTCTGCTTATGACAGATGACTCTTAGAAACTTTTTATTTTTTTTGGTATCTCTTGGATCAAAACTCCAGCTGTCTTGGCCAAACAAGAGAAAATTACTTGTGGTTTTGGGGGTTTTTGGTTACGCTGCATGCACAGGATTTCCACTCTTGGCTCCTCCCTGGGCAAGGGATAGGATGGGCATCACTTGGTGCTCTGCAATAGCAGCTCCACCAACAGCTGCCTTTTGTTCTGATACCACAGGGCACACAGCACAACATAAACCCATCCCAAAAGCACCAGAGCAGCATGATGAGGATGGGGAAGCGTCTCCTGTGCTCACCTAGAGGGGCCATCTCTCAGCTGACAGCATGGAGGTGGGCAGAAATGGGGCATGTACCGCAGCCCCCTGGGAACCAGATGTCAGCCCTGGGAGGTGCCTTATCCCTCTGGGAAGCAGAGGCTCAGCCGCCCGTACTCCCTACCAAAGGGTCGAGCCGGGGGTACCTGCGGGGCTGGTGGGGTTGTCGTTGGGGGTCTTCTCCCGCAGCAGCCGCAG